ACAGGCTGAGAGAGCTGCGTGGTGCTGAAGAGGCCATGTGGAAACCAAGGTGCGTGGTGCGCAGAGGGGAAGAGAAATGCAAGGCTCTGACCTGCAGTATCAACAGACTGGAATGCAGATTAGCAGCACGATAGTCTTTAGCAGCCAGGTTATGGGGCACAAGGAAAACCTTGCAAAAGTAGTGAGGGAAGAGGGAGACCACATGCATTTCTCGCATGAATGAAGCATGGATCTGGAAATCCTGTCCAAAGTAAGGCCAAGCTAAGGCCAGATGTGGCCCTCCAGATGTTTTGGCCAACAACTCCCATCAGCTCTAGGTGAAATATTAGTTTGTGCCATGGGAAGGAAGTTAGGACAGTAAAACTGCTGATAGGGACTGGCCAACACGATCCCCCTTTACATCTGTGCTGGCTGCCCGTCCATTTTCAAAACCAATTCAAATCTGGTGCTGGTATTCACAGTCAAAGCCTAAGCGGCTCAGGGCCAGGATACCTGAAGGAGGGTCTCTTCCCATTTAAACCCACTTGGATACAAACATCATTGGCGGCCCTTGTGCATGAGCGACCACCAAAGGAAGCGAGGAGGGTGGCTACTAAGCGGGTCTTTCCTGCTGTGGCACCGCAGGTATGGAACGAGCTTCCCAGAGGCTCACCTGGTCCCTACTTTGCCGTGCTATATGAAGGCTGCCTTATTTTCTCAGGCATGTTAGACTTTCACTTTCTGTTGTTTTAATACTGGTGCTGGGTTTTATTTCAGTTTGCCTTTTATACTTATTCTATCTGCACATGCTGTATTTTATGGTTTTAATTGTTGGGAACCTCCCAGAAGTAAATAACCGCTAACCTCCCACCACCCTGTTAGGGAGGCTAAGAGTTTTAATCCAATGCAGGTTGGAGCTGTCTTGGTGCAGGAATGACCATGAGTAGCCCTCAACAATATTTCGTGTGTCAGGTAAGGATGGCTTAAGTTATTCCTCACTGGATCCTTCACTGGATCTGCATTTGCCAACATCTGGCACATTCACTACGTGAGAGACCATTAAACAGTGCATTGCTCTAGTGAACAGCTACAGCACTCTGCAGTCTCCGGGCTTAGCCATACCGCTGCTGCAAGAAACAACCAGTTGCTAAACTAGCTTAACCCCAATCCCACCAGATGCTCTCTGACAGAAACAAAAGACTTGCCTGAAGCAAGCAGGAGGAAAATCTGTGCCACTTTCTATCACACCTTTCAAACTCATGGTGCTAGTGGCAGAAATGGTTGTCTGTGGCAGCACTACCTGTTGGATTCCAGTCAGCTGCTGCAGTTCAACAAGACTTTGGTAACACCTCCTGGTGTTTTCCTCAGAAGCAGAACAGCTTTAAAAAAACCAAATGCCACTGGCCAGGAAGGTAAGGAAGATCCACTGGCCTGTGGATCTTCTTTCATCATTTTTGGAAGATCTAGCCGTGGTTCTGTTTCCCAAGGCTGGTGGTACCTACAGCTTTTCACCCCTTTCCTCCAAACAGCTCTTCCTGCGCTCTATCTCAGTCATGACCTTGTGCAGTCAGTACAGTTGATCAGCCCCAGTGTTGAGATTCAAAACCAGCTCTTCCTAGTCTGGCATGCGAATTGCTACAACTGCTCCCCAGGTCATGCTGCATATTGGCAGGCAGCGATATGAGTCTGTAACATACACTAGTGTAGCATTCTCCAATTTAGTCCATGTGGCCAGTGACAGGGATGATGAGAGTTGTTGTCTAGAACATCTAGGGAGAAGGTTGGAGAAGGGCTGCGTTTGGGTATTATGCCATTTGGGGCAAAAGAAATACAGGAAGTGGAGATGGAGAGCAACAGAAACACTGCATTAAACAGTACCAGGCAATAAAGAAAGCACATGTGTCCACCTGCACCAAAGAAGCAGGCTACAGCCAAAGACAGGGATACGAAAGGCTACTACAGGAGAAGGGTAACCCTGACCAGCTAAACAAGGTGTCCTTACTCCAGGCAATGGGGAACAATGTCAACTAACCACCTCAGCCTCTTCCCTTCAAACTTTGTAATTTCAAGAACCCAGCCTAAGATAGTCAGATCAAGCAAAAGGTGAGCTATCTGTGGAGAGATACTGGACTTTTGGGAGTAGCACATTGGTGTGCCATGTGGACGGACCTGCCTAGCCAATGTTCTGGGCAGCAGTTTGCAGGCAGCTCTGCTCTGGCTAATGAGATGGGAATTGCCCACGAAAGACTCGCCAAGATGTGTCTTTTATGCCATCGTTCCTCTTTCCCACACCAAAAAATAAAAAGATGGCCTCTTATGGACAAGGGCCACAAGCAGTAGTGCTGCTTTTGTGTATTAAAATTAGAGTTGTCACCAGAACCTCTCTGGCTGCACCTGTGCCAGTCCTTGTACCATCCTGTACTGGAAGTAAAATGCAGGCAGCATTGGTGGCAGAGGCAGGATCCAGAATGCACAAAGAGATTGGCAGCTCAGTAGTGTTAATCTCATTCACACAGAGTTACATCCAAAAGTGTACTTCCACGCAAGTATGTTCTGGATTGCCCCCTTAGTATTGCCCACGATCTGAAAAGCAAGTCCAGGGCTGCTTAGGAACTAGTGAGTACACTGCACCTGAGCCGAAGGGAGTCCCTGTTCACTTTGATTTTCCAGAAACACTAAACCCTGCAACTGGATAGCCATCTGAGAGGGATGGGCTTAACTTGGGTGTCCTGCGCTGCGTATGGGCTTGGACCAACTCTGTGAGCCAGATGGTGGCTTACCTGCCACTTAAGTCACAGTTAAAGAAATCCTTTTTCATACTCTTTCAAGTCAATAGAACTTTTTAGGGAATGAAATCATGCATCCATCTAGGACTAGATTAGGAGTGAAAATCTCAGGTTTTCAAGGGAAGAGGGTGAATGGATATACAATTATTTCTTCCTCCTATTGTCCTTCCCCCCACAACATAGCTTCTTCCCAAAAGCAAGCTCCCATACAAGCATGAAAATGCCCAAACGCCATGATTGACTTTAACTCAGTTTTCCATCTTTGCTGTTTAAACATTAAAGACAGCACAAATCTATGTCTGCCCAAAAAATAAACACAAGTGGCATTCAGTAGGGCTTACTTTTGAATAAATATGCACAGCCACCTTAAAGATCCGTTATCGGGCAGATCAAAAACACGATACATAATGGAGCCGTACGCTGGCTTTCCTGCTGCCCCCCAGATGGGGCCAATGGCCATGCTGCCTGGGGGTGGTAGGAGTTCTAGTCCCACACACCTGGCGGGCACCAGGTTGGGAAAAGCAGCTGTACTTGCTTCCATGCCTCACATCTGAATGGGCTCTCAGCCACTTGTGCCAACGTGAACATTGTCTGTGGGGCAGAGTCAGCATTTTTAGTATAAGGTGTGATACTGAATTGCACCTCAGACAGTTACATGGAACTCAGCTGGAACAGACACCGAATGGCTTAAAGAGCAAGGCTTAGTACATACAAGTACAGCTACGCAGTAACATCCCTCCTTTTTCACTACTTTCTGGTCCCAAGAATAAACATGCCACCAACTCCAAATAATAGACTCTAATTCTAAACTTAGCATCTGCCAAACTTACACAGTAACAAAAGCCAAGGGTAGGATCGCCATGAATTTGAGAGCCGGCGTGGTGCAGTGGCCTGAGGCTCAGGAGATCTGGTTTCTGCTGCCCACGGGGCAATTTTGGGCTAGTCCCTCACTCTCAGCTTAACCTACCTCACAGGGTTTTATTTTTTATTTATTTTTCGATTTATATCCTGCCTTTTTCCTACAAAGGGCTCAAGGCAGCTTACATCATTCTCCTCCTCCATCTTATCCCCACAACAACCCTGTGAGGTAGGTTGGGCTGAGAGTCTGTGACTGGCCCAAAGTCACCCAGTTGGCTCCATGGCCGAGCGGGGACTAGAACCCAGATCGTCTGAGTCCCAGTCCCATGCTCTTCACCACTACGCCACACTGGGTTGTAGCTGTGAGGATAAAATAGAGTGGAGGATGGGTAGGTAAACTGCCTTGGGTTGTTTGCAAGAGCGAGGAAAGCCAAATATAGATATAATAATTAAAATATTTATATTTACAGTCTTGTTTTGGATGGGGTTTCATTCAACAGATCATGAGTTATACTGGGGCAGCGCTTCAGGAATGGAAATGAATCAGGTTCAAGGCTGTATCGGAACATCCTATTCAGTAACGCCGGCAGATCCAAAGGGAACACAACTCTCCGCACCACGGGTAGTTAGGGGCTGAATGCTAGAGACTGCAGTGCAATATATTCAGAATAGGCCACTTGGCTTGGACTATCCGGTCCCACGCTTCCTCTCCGCGCAGCACAGGATGATGGGCAGTGGTGGGTCCGGAAAGATCGAGTGGGATGCGCGTCAGGCACACACGAGCAGATCTCGCGCTCATTAGTCCACAATAACTCACACCCCGCCACCCACCGCGCCTTTACTCACAACTGAAAACCCCCGAACTGAAAACGCGCTGCCCCCGCGCTTGCATCACCTTTTCTTGCCGCCTTGAGCGGCGAGCATCACAGGTGCTGAAAGGAGACAGGCAAGGACTTAAACCGTCTTTGACCTCCAGGACAGACACATCCGAGGCGGAAGGAAGGTATGGGACGTGCGGAAAAAGAAGCGTGGCGGGGAGAGCTGCGGGGCAGGCAGCCTTCCTCGTGTTTCTCCGTGCCGGTGGGGTGGGCAACTGGGAAATCCCGCGTGCATTTTGCTTGCTCGCCCCTATCATCTCTGTTGGGGCGGGGAGGTCGGGAAAAATCGGGCCACGTGGATGGAAAGACTGAGCCGCGAGCGCCGGGAAAGGCTTTATCTGGGTCCCGAGTGGGGAGCGCCGAAGACAGAGGGATGCGGGGGGAGGCAACGCCGGGAAAACGAGGGGGTCGCGCCTGTGCACAGGTCAGCTTTGGCTGCTGCGTCCCTCGCCAGCCACCCCGCCTCCGATCAAAGGGCTGCAGCGGGTCGCTCACTCACCCTCCTGGCGCGGGGCAAGGTGCCCCCCGAGGCCGCCAGCGCCTTTTCCAGCTCCAGCGCCGAGGCTCGTTCCCCGAGCACGCCCGAACCTGCCACGCTCGCCGTCTCTGCCTCTTGCTCTTGCTGCCCGGACCGGAGCCGCCGGAGTCTCCGCAGGGTCATGGCCGGGCCGTAGGGAAAGCAAAAGGGGGCGGCCGCGCTACACGAAGCTTTATGGGCTCCTGGGGGCGGGGCTTTGCGGAGGACACACCCAACTCCTGGATAGGCCACACCCCTTCACGCTCTCGTGGCAAGCCGCGCCTCCGTTGTTGTTTAGGCGGGGGGACCACGCCCTTTCCCTGTAGACCCCGCCCCTGGCCTTGTTAGGCCGCGCCCACCTCCGAGAAGTCCCCCGCCTTCTTTTCATTCTACCCGTCGGGAGGGGATGTTGCGATTTCAGAGAGGTCGCGAACTTTCATCGCCGGCGCCTGGAAGCCTTTCTTCATAGATGTATTAATTATGTACCCCCTTTTTGCCATTTTTGGGGACTCTTTCCATGGGGTTTCTTATTACTTTTATTAGCCACTACCTGCTCGGAGATCAGCCCCCTTTCAGACAATTCTGCGCAGTCCCCCCTTTTATATTTACCTTCATCGCAGATTCTTGGCGAGAAAAAAAATAATCCTTCAATCTGTGAGAAGGGGGGTATATGATCCAAAGGAGGGCACCCCTCTCGTGACCGACCTCTTTTCAAGTCACTAGCCCTCAGTTTTCTTTCAGATCCCGATGAGACTGCGCATCCGGAATCGCTGATGGCGCTAAACGAGGCCTTTTCCAAAGAAAGCACAATTGTTTTAATTGTCTCCGGCCAGCTACAATGACGAGACAATGCCGCTTTATGTGACACAGGTAGTGAGGCTTCCGCTGCTTGACCGCCTAAGGCTGGGAAACCGGATCTTGGCCTGTCTGGTTCTTAAATCATGAAAGCGATCATTGTGAAGACAAACAGGCGGTTTGCATTTAAGCAAATAATATAAAATTACACTTCAAATGGATTCTTCTCACCCGCTCCACTATTCGTTTCTGGCAAAACACTGAGACGCACCCGCAGAGGCAAATTAAAGAGGACCGTTCAGAATAGTTTTATCGCACTTTCAAAGATAATTCTCCTTCCTCGTCATCGCGTGCATACTTCTAGGGACAAGAAAATGATGTGCACGTACTATAGAGAAGGGCAAATTATTAAAATTAAGCAAAGACAGACAAAAATCTCTCTGGCTGGTTTATTCGAGCCCAATGAATTCTGTCATGCAGACAGAATGCGATTAAAATATGACCACAGACTGCAGCGTAGTAAGTAAATCGATCATATATCTGTATTTTTCAAGCCTCGCTCGTGTTCGGTTCGCTTATTATTGGCGAGTATACTAAAAGTGGGAGTGTAGCGCCCTCTGCTGTCAACTCATCTTAATTTCAGGAGAAACATTCATAATAGCCTGGAAAGCCTCTCTTCTCTCATCATCAGACTCATGCAGATAAGAAAAGTGCAGTAATGATAATACTAGTAATAAAAGGAATACCATTAGCAGCAAAAGTTGAATCAGGTGCCATCTGGGTGGCATTCCGTGGCATTTTCCGGTGCACAGGCTGATCCTGAACTAGGAATGCTGCAAACTAAAACTAGTGCATCTTACAGAATCACACTGCAGAATGCTAGGATGGGTGACCGCTCCCAGCTGAGTGTACCATTTCCAGAAACATAGAAAAGCTATGCTGGATGAGGCCAAAGGTCCATCAAGGTCAGCATTCCAGACACATGGTAGCAACCAGATGCTGACAGGTTTGTTCAAGCAGAAGGGGTGCAAGAATTTCACTTTTCCCAAGCTCTTCAATGGGTGGACGCAGGCATGCCCCTTCTGCTGAAGGAGGTAGCACACAACCAGTAATGTTAGTAGCCACAGATAAACTCTGATGAGCCTATCCAATTCTTTCTTGAAGCCTTCAGGATTTGTGGCCATCACTACTCCCCATGGCAAGGCATTCCATAATCTAACTACAGTATATGTTTTGTACAGAAATGCTTTCTCTTGTTTGTCCTAAACTTTCCCCCATTCAGCATCACAGGATGACCCTCGATTTGGGTCTTGTGGGAGAGAAAGAAAAATGTCTCCCTCTCTATTTCTTCACTCTGTGTATAATTTTAAGCACTTCTCCAATGTCTCCCTTTACTCACGTTTTTCCTAAGCAGAACAGTTCCAGATTTTGCAGTAACTCCTCATAGGAGAGATACTTCAGCCCCCTGAAAATTGTCATTGCCCTTTTCTATATTTTTTCCAATTCAATAATGTCCTTATTCAAGTGAGGCGACCCAGAACTGAACACAATACTCTAAATGCAGTTGCGCCAAAGATTTGTGCAAGAGTAGTGATATCTTGCCAGTTCTATTTTCTATTCCCTTACTGATTATGCCTGGCATGGAGTTTGCTTCTTCTTTTTTTTACAGCATCTGTGCCCTGGGCTGACATTTTCATCTAGCGGTCCACTACCATCACCACCCCAAGTTCCCTTTCTTGCTCTGTCACTGCTTGTTCTGATCCCATCTGTATGTATTTGGAACTAGGATGTTTTGCCCCCAACATGCATAACTCTACAGTTAATCATATTTAATTGCATTTGCCATTTAGATGCACATTCTCCCAGTTTGGTGAGATCTCTTTGGAGTTCCTCACGATCCCTTATCATTTTGATCATTCTAAAAAGTATGGTATCATCTACAGACTTGGCCACTTCACTGCTTACTCTTGAATTCAGATCATTTACAAATAGGTGTGAAAAGAATTGGTCCTAATTCCAAACCCAGCAAGGCTCCACTGGTAACACCTCTCCAGTGGGAAAGCTTGCCATTTGTTCCCATCCTGTCTTCTGTTCTTCAACCAGAGGTTAGGAGAGTGAACACCTGGAGAAGAGCCTTCTCTGTCGTGGTGCCCCGACTGTGGAATGCGCTCCCCAGAGAGGTTCGCTGCTCCTGCTGCCGACTTTATATTCTTTTCAGCGCAGGTAAAAGCCTTTTAATTTGCCCAACATTTTATGGTTTAAATAATTTTAATCTGGGTTTATTATATTCCCTGTCTCATTTTGTTTTGGTATTATATTTTTATTTGTTTGTGTATTTATTGCTATTTATATTGTAAACCATCCTGGGACAATTGGATTGTGTAGAACAGGGTAAAAATATTCTAAATAAATAAATAAAATCAACCAGTTTTAAAGCTTCCTAGGAAGGCCTTGGCAATTATAGGTGGGCTATAAATACATGTAAATAATAACTAGGGGAGTGCTGCTTGTTATTTAGGTTCAAAATCTTTATTTGGGTTCAAAGGAGAGGTTTTGGAGCCCCCCCCCCCCACTTTCTTCTTTGGTTCCTGGGCAAGCTGCTTTTCTATTAGTCTCATCCACTTGGCTTCTGCGAAACACATGGTTTGTGACTGACAGTGCTTGTAGCAAGGCCCTCTATGGCAGCTCTTTGTACCCAGTGACTGAAAAAGATTAGGAATCCCTGCTCTAGGTAGAGAAGTGTCTCTTTTTGAATCTTGTTCTCCTTCCACATGCCTCCCACAGTCTTCTTACCCTGCCTCCCAAAATCACGATTTCTTCTCCCTTCTTTGAACATGATCTTGCCCCGTCCCAGCTGCCAGCTCCTCTCCAGACTCCTTCCTGCAGTTTTTACATTCATGGCATCACCATGGGGCAAAGTGGTCCCGCACAGTGGCATGGCTTGCTCACAAGGAGATCGTTTTGGACTCACTAGGAGAATCCGATCTCTGCGCACACACGCCCCGGCCTGTGCCCCCCACCCACACCGCCTTGGCAGCCCGCACCCATCGCCGGCATCTTTCAACTGGCCCCCAGTTCAAAAAGTTCGAGGACCCCTGCTCTAAACATTCTCACTTCTTTCAATCAATGCCTCAGGAAGCATCCCAAACATCAAAGCCAGCTGCAGCTTCCATCATCCTGCAGCCAGCACGGCAATTGGTCATGCTGGCCAGGGATGATTAAAGTCATGGTCCATCCGGTGGGCACCAAGTTGAGGGAGGCTGACCAAAACAGTCAGTATCCATAATAGTTCCAGCAGCCAGAAAGTCCTGCCTGGAGAGAGAGAGAGTGCGAGTGTGTGTGTTATTTTCCAAGATGTCTGGGAGATATGTTAGCATAATTGTGGGAAAGCTTGTCAGCATAATTGGAATTTACAAGGAGAAAAACTGGAGAAAATGAGGTCAAAGCATGCAAGCTGAATCGGCAAGCAAGAAGTGAACACTGAACACCAGACATTAGACACTGATGTGCGAATCAGTTCTTGTGATGTACACAATGCTGGAACAGGCAACTTTGAAACGAACCAACATTGGTTTTCTCCAGAGCCTCTATTTCTCCTAGATCTTTTGTGACATCTTTGCAGGTCACTCAGCAGGAGACGTTCCAAATGCTGTACTGTTCAGCATAGCACTGACTCCTAGATTTAAATTTTTATTTACTTAACTTTCATGCCACATAAAAATATTTTGCAGCTTCAGTGTTGACCATCTTGTATTCAGCAGTAACAGTGCCAAGTCAATCTGTTTTCTATCAGGTGTTATTATTTTTCACTGGCCATTGTTAACACATACCATAGAGAGCAACTTTGAAAATTCAGGAGCGTAATTGATGTTTACATAATGTTTTGGTTCCTTTGGATTGTGTAATTTAAAAAAAAAATGGTGATTGGATTCTTTTTTTTAATCTTGACGATAATGAATATAATAAATGCCATTCCAAAGAAATCTATCAGTTGGATGGTACAGAAATTCAATGCATACATATATGGCTTCACAAATTACAATGAAATGAAAAATCAATGTTTGTCATCTTTTTGTTTGTCCCCTGATGAAGCCCAGACACTTAACTTTAATGATTTTAACTCTTTTAATTGCTCTTGGAAAAATATGTTAAGCACCTTGAACTGCTGGACAGGTGGAACATACGTGTTTACATAAACAAATAGGAACAAAAAGCTTTTCTAGTTTGAAATGACTATCTGCTTTTGACTACATGCAAATCAAAGTATTCAAATTTTATTCATTTAAGATCTTTATTGCATGCCTTTCCAAAATGTTTGAGGTCACTAACAAAGGAATAATTATGCACATTTTAAAACATAAAAACACACGAAACCCTCATTGTGGCTTTCCTTTGCGTGTGAAAGCCTTCTGCCATTTATTACTAGGGTTGGCAGCTATGTTTTGCACTTCCTTTTGATATGTTTGCCTTCTGAGTAGTTTTAGGTTTGGCAGCTGATCTTAATTTTTAGCAAGGAATGAACTCATCACCAGCAGCCAAATATTTCTCAGTTAAGAACAAACACAAGAGCTGGGTGTCTGGGGACAGCTGGCTAGCAGCTGGAAGAAGATTGCACAAGATTCCAGGGGATATTTCCGAAGTATCCCTTGGAATGACGCGGATTATGCATGGTTTTCCCTTTGGGGGTTGTTCTTTGGAACATCTATCCTTTGGAGAATATTCAGAGGGATCCCCTTGCCATCCCATCCAACTTGAAAAGGAAATAGCTAAGATTCCTAGTGTAGGAGGCATTTGCGTTGATATGATGCATTAGCTTTATGGCCAGAAAACATTTTCAACCAAGCCCAAAATGTTTGGTTGAGCTGCATGAGAAGATTAGAAAAAGTTCTAGCTTTAAGTCAAAAGCCTGTGTGAGTACTGGAGCATGTCAGACTTGCTCAGGCAGTTGCAACAGTTGATCCCCTTGTATTCAAGAGGATTGCTACTTATGTAGAAGTACTCCATGTCTGCATTTCATCTCTTGGGGCCTAGAATAATCCATTAAGAACAGCACCCCTAGAAATGCCAAGCATTTTGAACGGAACAATGTAAGAAAAAGCTATTGTTGGTTGTGTGCACTATTGCACACACACACACACCCCCCAAACTCGGTATTTGAAGTCTTTTTTTACTTAAATTGGAAAATTCACATGACTCTCAAAAATAGGCAAGATAAGGAGAGTTCTTAAGAGTGTAATCCTCTGCATGCTTAGGCAGAAAAGATCCTACAGCATCCAGAATTCCCCAGCCAGTAAGACGTTGCAGGTTTTTCTGCTTAAGCATACACAGGATTACACACCAAGGATGTGATCCAATGTCCTCCATGCTTAATGCATGTAAGCCTCTGGAGACTTTTGTGTATCCAGTGCAGGGCTCCTCTACCTTATGACCTGAATTCATCCAAACAGCTGATTTCCAGCCCTGGAAAGGGTGCTGGTCTGGTTCTCTCTATGCTAGCTGTAACAACTTGGAATTTCTGCTCTGCAGTCCAAGGAACTTGAAGTTGGGACTCTGAACAATCCTATGCAACCACCCCCCACCAACAGTATCTGGAGGCTACAGGAACGTGTCTAAGAGATTCAATTCCGCTCTCTATTTACAGTAGTGGTTTTTAAGAGCACAACAGTGAAACTAGAACGGAAAACTCATGCAACATACAGTGCACAACTATCCACAGGATCCTTGTATTTCTAATATTGCCAAGTTGCTGAGTCCTGCCAAAATTTTTTGTTCTCCAATTGCATGTCAAAAGTATAGGGTTCAGAAAATTGTAGGGTGCCCAGGAAAAAGCCCATTAGAATGCGAAACTGACATCCAGATGGCAACCCCCCCATCTCACACCCAAATTAACCCCCTAATTCCATTTGGCTGATTCGTAAGGACTGGGTGAGGCACCCTAATATTGTTAAGGGATAAGGGTGGGGCGGGTGGCACTCCTCTTTCACCACATGCTCTGCTTAAAGGGTCCATCAGTGTGGCAAGGCTTTTAATCACAGAAAATTGGATGAACAGTTTACCTACTCTTCTGCCAAAGAACAGCTTAAAAGGGGCACACTTTATCCCACTAGACTAATAGAAGAAAAACAAAATCCTTAATTTCTGTTACACACACTCCACCGGCTTCAAGCTGGATAAGCTTGTTACTGCCCCTGGGATCCTCCAGTAGAAATCTAAGATGACATTTTTACAGGAGTAGAAGATTTAGCTTTTCATCCCTCCCTCCCTCCTTACACTCAACGTCTGTCTACCACTGATGATTGTTATCCAAATTCCATATATGGCAGGGAAATATGGGACAGAGTGGTCTTAGGCAGTAAACACTTTTTGTTTGGCAGCAAAAGATAAGAAACCCCAGGCCTAACTTCCATATTCAGGAGGAACACATTCTCCAACTCTCAGGAAGATGAGCATTGTTCTCACCCTTTGTCCCCAGCTTTTCCTTATGTAAAGCCATCTAGGGATAACATGCAGTATAGTTACTCAGAAAAATTAAGTCCTACTCCACTCCCAAGTGAGCAAGCCTAGTCTTGCAGTCTTAACTTATTCCATGTCCTGTATATACACAGTGTTATCATGTTAACACCAAGCTCCCAAATTTTCAGCTTATAATGTATTATAATCTTGATAAATTACAGTTTCATTTCACCATTAAAATGTTCTGGGATCCACATTTACTTAAGAGATCAGTTCTCTCTGCTCAATAGTGATTGTGTTGAGCAAGTAATGTTTTGATTCAAGTGTCTTTTGTTAAGCAACATTAAAATATTAGTTATGAGCTGGAGCTTTACTATTATCTTCAAGCTATGGAATGCCCAAGTTGAAATACAGAGATGCTGCTCTCTCATCTTCTTCCCAAAAGGTTGCTTTTAATACTTATTATTGCTATGGAGGTTATATAGCTGTTGAGATTTTCTGTACTTTCATTTCCTGCTTGTCCAGTAATTTTAGACATGTTCTAGATTTGATTATTGGATCATGTTACTTTAATGCAGTTTTTTTCTTCTTGTGAATTATGCCATTAAAATATTTTAATTACATAAAACTTAATTTGTTAGGAGCATTTTTAGCTATCCTGACTCAATAGAACAGTAAAACTAAACTGGTCCTATTCTCAGAAGAGAAACTTAATTCTATGGATGGATGGGCACAAAGCACTTCTTACAAGAATCATAACAGATTTATCACTGCATCACTGCACAAGATCATTGTAAGCCAGTTTGTAATTTCATTAGGCTATCTTGTTTTGCACTTGAGTAGTGAATCTCATGGAGCACAAAAGATGTTTGTTGTGTGTTGATCTTGTACTATTCCTTTCACTGAAACTAAAATTCAAATAAACCAGATTCAAATATACAGATATTACAGATAAGCCAGAATGAATGAGAACAGAAAAGTCACAGAGCTTACATGAATAAAAACAAACTTTTAATAATGTACAACAGAAAATTGGACAGCCTCATTCTTATATTAAAACAAAAGATTTCTTTCCTATATTACACATATTTACATTTGCATACTGAGGAGGTAAAGTGTCTAAGTGGCTATTTTACAGTCTTTTTCTAATAAAACATACAAAACCTGAAACAAATATAAAGGTCAAGTAGGTGTCAGGGGTAGGAGGACAGGTAGGAGGAAAACGGGGAGTGGGGATGACAGACAACAGTACCAAAAATGATCTATTCTGAAACCAGTCTGCCACCTACCAGACAAGAATCTAATAGCACCAACCAAGAATCCACACCTTCTACTTTCGAAAATTAAAAAAGATTAAGGGGAATGCAAACAAACTCTCCCATTTGGCAGCTGAACACTACCGGACTCTTCTACATCTCATGTGAAAGCAAGATGAATGGCTGGTTGCTTCTCAGCTGAGTTAAAGAACTGGCATTCCATCCGGTCACTGCCATGGATCTGGGCTAGTTAGACCACTGGATGTTACGGCTAACTGGAGGAAGTTACTGTTCCCCATTATTCTCTTATGCACCTTTAAGCTTTTAAAAAGATCTTGTCAGGTCATTGCACAATTATGAATTTTTCTTGCTTTCCTGCACTTATTTTTCATATATTAAGAGAACACACACAAAGCAAGTAGTGTAATTGTGTCTAGTTGTTTGTTTTGTTTTTTTAATTATCACTGTCCAACCTATGAAGGGAACTGACAAATTCTTCTTTTTAACCATAGAGGAGTGTTGAGGAAGAACAGCCACATGAATCTGACATAAGGCTTTCTATTCGACCCACTGAGGTGCAAGCAAAGAAATCTGCCTCTTTTCAGCACACTGTAATTCGCACCTATTGCAAGACTGCCACATGTCACTAGACAGGTTTTTGTTAAAATAAAGAAATGCTTTAAATGAAATACCACAGTGCATTTTATGCCCTTTATTTAATTGCCTTACTTCTGATATGGTTGCAGATTAGAATTGAGCAAATTTGCTCTTATATTTCTGCTGCTAAAGGGATGGAATCATTATGAAAATATAATACACACAGAGAAATCATTCCTGTCCCCAAGGTCAATCACATGTATGGACAGATATATAAATTATATGTCTATCAGCCAACATTATGATACAGTCTATCCCCTTTAGACTTCAAGATACAACAGTTATATTAAGTTGGCTCAACATAAGGAAGAGAGAATGGGGTCTACATATCTATATAGATATGCGTATGTTGGTGTGTACATGCAGCAAATTATTGTAAGACATTAAATGTGATGAATTAGATTCTAACACTGAATTTACAGGGAAGCTTGTATCACTGAACTGAAGAGATTCTACTTCTAGGATATGTACCTAAAATTACAACATCATAAAGGTACTGCGTTCAGCAGAAACAGGACCTGTATTCTGGAGAAAATTATTTACCTCTTGGGGGAATGTCTCTAAGAGAAGGACCAGCCTTTCAGCATAAAGTTAATTTCATAGCCACTACAACTCTCTCACCCCTCCAAATTATGCACACCAAGGTTTATGGAAAATAGCTCCCCAAAGTTTGTTTTAAACCAAGAGAGATTCAACAATAGAATTATGTACATCTCCCATTATCTGACCCCCAATTTTGAACTTTCGTTAATTACTATCTTCAGCTAGCAATACTGACAACTAAATAGTTGTCATTTCTCTTGTACAGGAATACATCTTCTAGATAAATTCAAGGTGCCTTTCATCTTAGACCTGAGATGTAGGGATGATTTTGGTAAACTGCCCCCGCCCCCTTTGCTGGAGATGTGTGGTAGCCTCTGGCTCAGAAATGATCAGAACAAAAATCACAAAGGAAAGCAAGTTTTACAATCAGAAGCACAAACTCCAAATCTTCTTCCATGAATAAGAACGCCTGAGATTTTCAAAACATAGCCTTAGAGAAAGTAACAGCTTATTCCAAATGAAAAAGAGTACACAAGACTGACTCCAATGCACAATGCGACAACTTTTCAATGTTACACACTGACACAGTTTAGAACAAGAGAAAGGACTGAGGTAGGGGAGGAAGAGAGACAGACAATTTGACAAACACTCACACCCACAGACAGCAAACACGTAATGCTTTATATTTTTAAAAAAATGCCCTTTCTCAGAGTGAAGACAATGCCTCCTCTTGGAAGTCAGGGCTCACGGTTTGAGTAGAAACAGTTCCAGTGTAAAATTGAGCTGAGTACATTTTTTCAGGTTTTTTTGCAGTGATTTCTTTATAAACAGAATGAGAGGTAATTATCAGTTTTACTTCTCTTATAAAGAATAGTAAAAAAAGTTAAAATCCAGACCCTCCCATTAAAGTAAGAATTAAAAATAATAATCAAACTACTCCAGTTAAAAGTTATGGCTTCAGGAGTTATCACAAACACCCAACCCACACACAATGGAATTTTCAATGCATGATTTGCATCTTAATACAGTCTCAAGCTGTTCCCAAAGCACATGAAACAGCCAAATCAGCCTTGCTACACCCTGATCATTTAAATGAAACAAAATGCATGCAGTTAATTCCTTCCCAACTTTCCCCCACCCCTCCCCAAGTGACACACTGCCACTTCCAGAATATGGGCAACCATATCTATCTATATTTATAAACGTGCGTGCATGCGCACACGGACACATGCGTGCGCAAACACACACACATACACACTTTCTGTCAAAAACAGATCCATTTTTACAGTTGTCATTCCTTAAGGGACGAATCCCACCAGAAGTCTCTGAAAGTATATTTCCCAAATATGCTTCACTCTTGAGAGAAACTTAAATGCCAGGACTGTTCTGCCAAAGGCACCTTGAAAAACAGGAAGACCCTGCTCCTATATGGTCAGCCTATTTCTCCAGCCGTTCTCTTGCCTTTCTTCCTCTGACCAGGGCCAGCATCAATTTCAGCTAACACGGATTTATTCTTTCTGCAGATCGCTCTGCTTGGTAGCCAACTGCTGCTAGCCTGTACTACATAGGGAACTTGAAAGCAATAAACAACCCATTCCCTGCTTTAAAAAGAGGGGAAGGATGGCAGTGAGAGAATTTGTGTGGTGCCCTGTTAGGTCTAACAACTGGCAGGGCAGATCTCTACCCCTTCCTAGTGAGCCGATAGCTAGCTAATGATCAACTAGTGGAACAAAGGGGGCACCAGGACCTGCACGTCACAAGAGGGCACTCTACATTTTCACATGCACAGGAGCACAAGCAGACACAATACATACCCAAGGGGCAGAGGGATACGTACCTTTGCACATGCACACGCTGTTGAACACTAATGGCTGCGCTAGCTTAGGATCTGTCAAGCTAGAAAAGGGCCAAGAGCTTCACGTGGACAGACAAGGGGGCACTCAAGGCTGCTGGGTATATATGACAGTCCTTGGGGGGGCCCCCATGCCGTTTTTCTGTTCATTGAAAGTCTTTTCCTCTCCCAAGCCACAAAGCCTTTTCCCAGCCAGCCCATCAGTAAATTTTACAGGGATCTTCATCAAAGAAACAAAGGTTTCAGCTGTGGCTAGCATCTCTCTATACACGCCCCTCTTTATGCTCCTAGAGGAGATTTAAAAAAGATGCATTTCACTCCAAAACCAAGGAGAGAGCTATGTCCATGAAGTCCACCCCCCTCACCTAACCACCTGCAGGCCAAGTTGTCCAGTTGATAGCAGCAGGCTGTGTAGAAATATGAGGTAGGCCTTCTCCACCACATATCAATTCTAGCATGGCAGCTTTTGTGCAATTTCCTCAAAGTGGGACTTGCAGGCTATATTTTCACATCTTCCTGGACACTGAGTTGAGAAAGAGTTTTCTTGATACGCAAGGCTGTCAGGCGTGCAGCCCCGTTAGCATACCAGCACTCTCGCATCATTTTCCCCATTACTCGCAAAGCCTATGAACACAAGGAGAGAAACATCATCAGGGATTTCTCCACAGCATGTCAAATGTAGTGTGTCTTTCAGTCCGCATAGAATTAATGGCTCATATTGTGACAGCTCATCCACAGTATGCAGGCATCTACCAATACAAACAAGTGACCCAGAAATTAGGACATTCTCTGCTACCAGATCAGTGATTTTCAGCTTCTCTGACCTTACCAGGATGTGCCACCTGTATCAAGTGGCTTTTGCTCATCCACTAGATTGAAAGTCCACTTCCAACATGTGAGCAATCCTAGGAATAGCAAAGTTTACTGATAAGGAACAAACTGCATAGGTCACTCACATAAGACAATACAAGACAAAGCCAGTATCAAGCATCTTTGCTGGTTCCAAGCACCCCATTTCCCCCACCTGAATTTGGGCCTTGAAGACCAAGTATGGGTGCATGAAGGGTAATTTGTAAGCAAGCAGTTTGTGACAATGCACATTATGGTAACATGATCAAGGGGCACATTAGTTAAGGTATCAGCCTTAGCTTCCAATATTCCGTTTTGGGGAGTTTAGCAAGTGCTCCTGCAGATGTCTGTATCTCAGATAAGTGTGCCTCCTAAATATTTCAAAAGGAGCACATGAAATTGTGCACTAAATCAGGAGCTGGTTCAGAAAATGACTATACCATGATTACTCTCCCTTCTAGACTAGAAAACACTGGAAATAATGCCCAGTGATTGCTAATTGTCTAAAGAAACAGAAAGTGGACATTTACAACCACAAAAAAACTGACATCTCACAGGGTTAACCAGCCCATTTCTAACACTTTGAAACATTTTTGTCTTTTCCAAAGTTTTGGTTTTCTTCATTCTCGTTTTCTCCAAACATGGAATCAAACAAGTGGTTAGAACTGTAATCAAGGTAAGAATTCTAAGGAACTTTATATATAGGAAAGGTGCTAGAGAAATGCTTAGCATGAGATTTACTACTATTATCACTATTAGTCTTTTATACTGCACTATAGTCCATTTGGTTATGGGTTAGTCATTTGTTTATTATCTGCTATATTATTTATGGGTTGCCATAAAGAACATGCACAGACTGGCTCACTTAGCTACAAAAAGCCACTGCCACATTAAACGTTGTGCAAAGAGGAGGCATCCACTTCAAATATGACCTCTTAACTGGGTTCCTTATATATCAACTGCTGCTGAACACATTTTTATTTATTATTGTTCTACGCCTGTCAATAGCCAAAGCTCTCTGAATGGTTTAATGTCAATCCTGAACTAGCACAATCCTGTCCTAGCTAATGTGACAACTGCTATATTAAAATATTTTTTGTCTGGACTGTCTATTCCCAAGGTAGTTTTCTTTCTTTAGTCTTCAAGACAAATTATACCTCATAACTCTGCCACCAGTTGGGAATGTTAGGCCGCAGCTTCTGATCACATACAACCTTACGCATTTCTTCAATGGATGGGTCAGAGGGCACAAGATCATAGTATGGGAGCTGATATTCTTCATGGATACCTAAAAGGTGGGGGTGGAGAGAGCCACAATGTCATTTCACCTATTATTGTTTTCCACCAATTCAGTAGCTGTGTGTTGTTTAATCCAACATATTCCTTCAAAGAGAGGCAGGAAACAATATGAAATGGAACTATTCTAAAATATTACTGCAATCATTGGTATGTATCGCCAAAAATTTCAACTAAAAGTTAGGGGAGGAAACATACTTGCAGTGCAAACTTAAGCATGTCTATCCATCCTGCCATGACGGTACCCACTTACTCTGCTATGGTTAGCTTATAAATATGTCCACCATCTTTTGTTATTTGTGTAATACTCTGATCTCCATACCATGTTGTTAATTCAGAAGTCTATTTGGATTTCTAAGAACATTTGGCATTTTGAGAAACAGCTGTGGGCACCGCCACAAAATGGTTCCCAGGGCAGATGTGACTAATCACATTATGGCTACTGTGGAGGCCCAGCTAGACCAGGAATTTCAAGGAGAGAAACAGAGAGGCGGAAGGGGAAGGGAGAATGGAAAGAGTGGTTTCCTGGCCTGCCTAATCTTCTTCCATCCACACAGACTTTCCCTTTTGTGAGTTTTCGCTTTCTCTCATTCTCTCTCTCTCCCCCACTCATGTACCAGCCTCCAGCCTCATTATTTCTTCTCTCCCCCAATCTCTTTTCTTGTGATTTCTTTCCTTCCTGTCCCTTGTCTCAGAGGCCAATCATCTACTAGCACTATCAGTGGGTTAGTGGCTCATTCCTAGGTGGTTTACTGTGGCATGTGAACCAGCTCAATTAATTCCATGCAAGTGAGTGAACAAGCTGATAGAAACATGATGGGGTGCTCTGTCTCTACTTTGAGTCCAGTTTCCAAACAAGCAAGGTAGCCCAGAGAAGAAGTCCTTTCCTCTGCACTCAGCACTGGAATATTGCAGGCTGTTAGGCTGCTGCAGGAGGAACAGAGTCCTCCCTCCCTCTGCCAGTTCCCAGCAGACTAAGATTATTTTTTAGACTATTAACATCTTGATATTCAAAGTTAGTCCTACATAGAGTAGCCATTGCAATGGGACTTGTTCCATTCAGTTTAATGTGTCTACTCTACATAGAACTGCACAGATACCCCTCTAGATTAGGAGAAATTATCCCCCCATTCCCATTCATGAAAAAATTGGGAAAACGTATTTTTTTCCTGTAAGGTATATGTACCTCTTCAAATGTCAACCAGGGAAATAATTTAATTGCTCTGCTTGCCTGTAAAACAGCAGTGGACACCCTTTATTCCTCTAGGTGCTTTACCCTATAACTCCCATCATCCATCTTCAAATATAATTACGAGGGATGATGCATGCTACAGCTGGAGTGCTGCAAATGGCCCTCTACATCTCTAGGAACCTTTAGTTTGCTTCCCTTGCAATTTACCAATTCTCCCATTGTTGACCCCACATGGAATTATTTTACCCTGGGAAAAATGTCTTTCCTTGCAGTATTTCTTGGGTTTTAAAAAATGCATGTATAAAAACCCACCCAAATTGTACTTGCAGCATAAATATTCCCTATTTTTAAAATTAGTGCCCCAGTGGGAGTCTTCTATATCATCAAGATGTCAGGATTTTATTTACTCAGCTTTTAAACACCCTCTTTTTGTGGGACTGTGAAGGCCCTTGATGTTGGCGAAATTTTCATCTGCTGTTTGATGAGCAGTCAGTAAGGTACAATCTTACCGGAATGTCTGTGAGCCCCCCGGTTCAAAGGCCTGCAGGCGTCCCATGCAGGCCAGGGGCAGCCCTCCCCCCACCCTCCTCTTTTCCTGCCTTTCTGTGCTAGACAGGCTTTTCTGCCTGTCTGCCTGGGAACTCACAGTAGGGCAGCTCCAGAGAATGGAGTGGCTTCAGAACAGTTCATGTCCTGACCTCTCAAGTCTCCTCTCTGTCCCCCAAATGATCCTTCAAATTCTACTTCTTTAAATCCTCCCCACTTCAGAGGGCAACCAGCATGGTGCTCTCTACAGTGGGGGTAAGAGGTTGCGGGAAGGGGGTCAGAGCTCCAATTTCTACTCCAATGTTGCAGTGCTGCCTCCAGCCTCAGAGCTTGGCACAAGAACTGTCCTACGGCTCTTCAGAGAATGTTTTGGGTGCCACAGGATCATCTTCTCATTCTCCATAGTAAATTACTAAATATCTTGTTTGTTCTATTTGATGTAGTATTGTTTCTGTATTTTATAATGATCTTGTTCTTTCTTATCTACTACTTTGGTCTGGTTTTCACTTTCTTGTTCCCATCTTCCTTTAACTGATCAATTTCTTTTTATTTTTAAATGGCTCCACAGCTGAAGCTCTCTTAACAGTTTACAATAATTTATCTCCTTTGTTCAATCTTACCTACTTACTACATGTTTCAATCTTGCTAGTTTTTTTAATCTTTAATCTTCTGTTATTTTTTTAAAAAACCTATTTTCTTCTTCCAAATTATTTTACTTTTATCATATACCAGTAACTGAAACCCAGCTGAAAGCTGATCTAGTATCCTTTCACTTGTTCAGTTATTTATTTTTTTCTCCTTTTGGTCTCAGCCCTTTACAAGGTTTATATCAGAGAAAGCATGATATTTTTTAATTCTCTGAATAATCTCATTACATAGTTTATTGTTTCATGTAAAATTTGTAGGCAGATTATTTTCCTTGCTACAGAGTTTTTCCTATGCACTGCATCTAATGAAAGCAGCTTTTCCTTTTCTTCCACCATCATTTCCCTACATTACAGGACTCAAACTCTGGAATTCCTCTCAAGATTATATCATTCTTAACATGTTGCTTTCTATTCTTATTTCAACCATTCATTTTTCAAACAAAAACAAAAAGTATTATCCTGTTTTTGCCACTGGTTCTCTATATACCTAATTAACTTTCTAATGTTTGTTTTCTCGGCTTGTTCTGTCATTTTCTTATCCTCTGAAATCTCTTGTGCATCTTTTTCTCCCTCCTTTCCCACATTTTTTCATTCAATGGGTTGCTTTTGTGCAATGTTTTCGCTCAGCTTAAGTCACAGCATTCCTTGTACCCCATTACCTTTTCTACTACTGACTTCTACTCAATAAAAAAAAAAAACAACTATCAATTTTCCTCAGTCCGCAACAAAGAACACACAAAAACTGCATCAAAATTATATGCAAATTACAGCTGATTCTGGAACAAATTTTGCAGTACAGAGATTAGGTCAGGAGATTTTGATTAAGCCTTCATGTTCATGATTCAGTGTATCCAAAAGAACAGGAACTACTATTTAGAGCTCCTCCAGAACAGAGACTCCACCACCAGAACAAATGCCAATAATCCCAACCAAACCTGTTAGGGAGAGTCTGATTAGAATGCTGACTCAGTGAAAACAAACCGATCTCCTGAATCAGCAAGACCACTTCCTTCTCCAAACAAGGCAAGCAGCAAATCTCCCTGCTCCTTCCATTACACCTCTAGCTTACTGTAGCACAAATTACTTCTTCAAAGTTTCTATGCACTTGGATGACACTCCCATATTCAAACATTTTAAGTCAATTTCTAGGTGGACAGGAAAAAAAGAGACCTATTACCTCCCGAGTTGCATCTGCGAGCGATTTCCCAATAGACTAGGCCCAGGGCGTAGATATCAGCACATTTAAAAGAATCAAAATGCTTCATGTTTATTGTTTCATCAAGAACTTCAGGGGCCATGTAACTGAATCAGAAACAAAAACAACAAGATTAACAACTACGTGTTCTATTTGAGGATACACATAAAATACATACCTATAAAGTAGACATATCCATGCCATTTACTGTGAATAAGACCTATTACTAGTAAGTGTATCTTATTACAGTTTAGAAGCTTACTTGCAGCAAGTAAGCTTCAACAACCATTTTCTTGGCAGGGTTCGCTGGACAAAAACTCATTCAACTAAACCAAATCTTTGAGGGAATACCGTTCAATTTTAAATGTAGTGATTATTCTCCTGTTTTAAAAATGTTCAAATGATGGGAACAGCCACGTCCAGCAACTTACTGAAAATCCACTAGGGAAAAATGCCAAAACAAAACCTCTACAGCAGTTGGGGCAAACTTAGTAGTATACTGGTCTGCCTGACCAGCTGGCCAGAGAAATCCTTGTCCCATGATCCACTGAGATGCAGCCCAGGTCTATCCATGGCAGGGACTGACTTGACAGAGCGCTGACAAAGCGAGGGCAGAGCAACACAGCAGCATGGCAGCTGTGGCCGCTTGTGGGTGACTACTCCAAGACAGCTGCTCCCCTCACAGTGGCCCATTTCCCTGAAGACCTTCCACCATTAGTTGCCTGGTTAGGCTTGCGATGTTCGCTGTTGGCTGGATGGTTTGTAGTTTGTGGTTTTAGACTACATGATAACAAACTCGTTTCATTTCAATTCCACTGTATTGCTGTTACTGCTTTAGAAATTTACAAATTTTGTAAGATGTTGTATTTATTGCCTTATGTAGCTGATCTGATCTTGTTTTGTTTTGGATTCTTGTACCTTGTTTCATACTGTATTTTATTGTTTCTTGTATATTGTATTAATGCATCTTGTAAACTGCCCTGAGAACCTTTTATGGCTAAGTGGCAGTATAGAAATTTAACTTAGCAGCAGTGGTGGCGCATCTCCTTGCCAGACCCAAACTTGCCACTACTATAATCACAGGCTATTAGGAGCACAACCAGTCATCTGTGGCAAAGGTGTTTACCTAGGATTGTCCATGACTCTATCTGTCTTGCCATATAGCCTGGCTGCAGCTATTTATAGAACAAAGACCCCTATCTGAAGTAAAACACATGGGGTTCTGCTGCAAGTGAGACTTTAAATGTATAATCCAACATATATTCAGATAGAAAAATGACCAACATGTTGAAAATCATTTTCAGAAAAAGTCAAAATAATGTAAGCATTTTATTTTAAAACAAAATTAGGAATTTAAAGCTCAATGCAAATGCTGACTCATGCAAATAGAACAAAGAAGCAGTTGTTGAATCCTTTTCCTAGATATCTAAATATTGTTAAAGCCAGATGATCAAAGGTTAATGGTAAAACTTTTGAGTGTTTAAATGTATAGAATATTTGCCACATTTTAAAAATGTTTTGCAATAGCAGTCAACTGATTATTTATTTTTTATTAACATTATCAAACCTGTTGAAGATCAGAATGTATTTTTGTTGTTACATACAAGTTAATGCTTTAAAAATATGTGTCCATATATTATGGCATATTAAACACCCAACTCTAATGTTGCACACAGATAACCAGCAAGAGTTAGCAGATGGTAAGCATCTGGTAACAGCTAGAATGCCAATCTGAAGATTAGAGAGTCAAGCAGCTTGAAAGGAAAAAGGGCAGTATAAAGCAAGCATTTGCAACCATATCCAGACATGACTTTGTCCACACAAAACATCAATACTTACAACCTGTTAAGGTGATATTGCCTTACCGTTTGGTTCCAACCCTTTGATTGGGTGCAATGTCAATTGTATCAGTAACAGAGTCATGGCGAACAGCCAGACCCAAATCTGCTATGGCACATGTTCCATTCTTCTTCACCAGTATGTTCTTAGATTTCAAGTCCCGGTGTGCAATACCAGGTTTTCCTAACAAAGCACAATGAAAGACAAGTCCATCATTGCATTTTGTGTATTTGCCAGTAACTACTTTTCAGGAATAAAGCCGAAAGGAAGGAGCAGCACCAAAACTTCCACTAAGCTCAATCAGTTTCAAAGTGTCAAGTTGATAAATCTGAAGGAAACAAGGGGTCTTTTATCAAATTCATTGCACCTTCTTTAACAACAGCATGAGCTGAAATGCTTCTTTGCTATTCTACTTCAGATACTGGTCCAATTTGGGTGCGTATTTTCCAGCTTGTTAAACCACACTTTAGCAGCTAGGGGTAAAGTCTAAGACCACCTGCTTCCCCCTCCCCACTTCTTCATGCTGATCCTGGTTAATTTAATCTATACTTCCTAGTTATTTCAAATATGGGGAGCTATAGTTTAACACTGGTTTACTAAATAGGGCCTTGAACCATGGGTACTCCTGATGCTTGCTCCTAAGCAGCTGAACTGTAACTTAGTATGTCAGGACTTGCATGCTTTATTTATCCCACCTTTCCCCCACTGTGGAACTCAAGACGGTTACATGTGATTCTCAGATGGTCTCCCCTCTAAGCTCAGGATGGCGCCAGATTTGCTTAGCTTCCACACTATGGTCACCTTATTTGCCTTCAGAGCAGGTATCCTTTCCTTCACCCAGTTTTGCCTAAATTCTATTACTCTCTTTACCAGGCTCCTTAAACCTCATTTCTGCTTTCACCTTAAGAATGAATTACATCTTCTTTATCAGCCCAAGTGCATCAATCACTGTCAAAGGTTTTTTGTTTTTTCATTTTCTAACTGACCACTGCAAAATTTATATCTAGCATACTTCTGCTTCTTACCTTGGGTCCCCACAATTTCCATATGTAGATGTGCCAGTCCACTGGCAGCAGAAAGAGCCAATTTAATCATTCCTTCAATTGCTACAGTGTATCGGTTAAGGTAATCAAAAAGAGAGCCATGCTCATGGTAATCAGAGACCAGCCACAATTGGGTCCAAGTACCATTATCTGTTTACAAGACAAATCAGGGGAAAATGCATTAGATTGGAAAGAGAGCTACAGCCATACTTTTGTTCCAAAATTCATTTAAGAACAGGTATTGTAAGTAGCAAGGGAAGTACCACTGAAAAATTTCCATTTGCTTACAACTTCGATTTGTACAGCCATTTATACTGGAATTTAATATAACAAATGCCACTACTTCAGGGTTATTTTTGTGGTTCAGTTTAATGCTGCCAGACACTCAAAAATGTAGGAACTTTATAGAGTTCTGACCTGGCAATGGTTCCCCTTCACTTCTCAAAAAGATGTTAACTGCCAGAGTACATCTGTTGCCAAATATGCCCCAAGGACATGAGGCAAACTGGAAATGCTGTTAGCAGCATACCAGTATTGGGGGATATCCTATGGTTAAGATATGCCAGAGGGATTGGTCCCAGAACACATCCCAACATAAAGAGAGCAATACCAGCAGTGTTCCCAGTCACTGCTAATTGCCTTGGGCTCTGCAAAAGGCAGTAAGTTGCCTGGCCTGACTTAGAAGTCAATTGGGTAATGATTCTTGAAAGATGAGGTTTAAGAACAGATCCCTGGTGTTATCTGACCCAGCTGCCAAGAGAAGTCAATGTGTGGGTGTGTGCAGTGGTTTCTCCATCTCATATGGTATTAGTGTATTCCTGCACTGTGAACAACATTTCCAGACTGAAGTACTTTACTGTGGTACGATTATGAGACTGTCCCTGCGGACCAAAAACAAACACTCTGCATTGTATTTACTTGCATGCTATATTTGTCTGGCTTGACAGATTAATTGCAAGTCTTAGCATCATCAGACAATAAATACTCTTACAAGGTACTAATGAGAACAGCCGTTAACACTGTTTCTTGATGAGATTATCAATTTTTTATGAGATGTACAAAAGCAAGTCTATATAGCAGGAACTGTTTCTCAATACTGGAAAACAGCTAAACTAACACAGAATGGTCAATTTTGAAAAAGTACCTACTATTGTAAATAGTGCATACTTTTGCAGTCACTCAAAAGACTTTTATAATGGTGGCATCCTCTATTAATAATAAAATATTTATTATTTTAATTTTAATTAGTAATAATATATTTTATTTCTCTATCACCCAACAGCTGAAGATCTCTAGGAGGTTCACAACGATTTATCAAAGTACTATAATAAAAATGGATATGAGAAACAGAGATACAATAAAACATGGTGTACATTTCCAATATACAAAATGCAAAACATTTTAAATGTGAAATAAAAATTAAACTTGACCAAAATGAATGACATGATATGCCATTAAATGTATGAGACTGAAGAGCAGTTTTAACCTGATACCAAAAAGATGAGAATGTTGGCACCAAGCAGGTCTCCATGAGGATATCATTCTAAAATTGGGGGACCACCACTGTGAAGGCCTTCCTTCTTGTTGCCTCTTTCTAGGCCTCCCGTGGAGATGGCTGTCAGAGCAATGCTCTAGGTGCAGATCACAGTGTCCAGGTAGGCTGAAGCTGGGACTGGGTATATTTATAAATTAAATTTATAAATGGTTCCCATAGCCCTGTAAGGCTCTCTGCACAGTGCACAGTGTAAGAATGAAAGCCAATCATAAAAACAAAATGCACATAATAGTACAATTACAGCAACTACATAGATCATAATTTTTAAAATACCCAGGTACAGTAGTAATAAAACCATCCTAAAAATTCCTAGTAATATAAAATCAATTCAATATTATTCAGTCTTTAAAATATCTGGAAAATAGGAATGTCTCTGCCTGATGCCAGAATGATAACAATGAGGGCACCAGGTGCACTTCTCTGGGAAGCCTATTCCACAGATGGGGCACAGCCACTGAAAAGGCCCCTCTTCTATTTGCCATCCTCCTCACCTCTTTGAGGGATGGCTCTTTAAGAAGGACCTCTGAGCCAGATCTTAGTGGTCAGGGATCTCCAAATGCAGATATCTGATGGTTTGAACAAATCTGAGGAAACTAGATGATTTTGATATGAATGAAAGTTCGAGGATTTACTTAGTACACAGTCATCCCAAGACAGGTTTTGCCTGAGCAGTGCCTGATGTTCACTCTCACATGAAAAGTATAAATGGAGCCCATTTCAAAATTCAAAGTTAATGAAGTTCAAAAAAGAGAAGCCCTCAAAGCTTTAGAGCTCCAAAGGTCCAGGAAAACTAATCTCTATGCTGCTGGTCTGTACTAAACTCAACTTTATTTGAATTATTTGAGCCAGTCACCTTGGCTTTCTGGCACACAATACTTCCATTTTCCAGGTTTCTCTTTCTGCTTCCCTGTTTTTGACCTGCAGGCAGTTTATATCCTTTCCTCCTGTTCCTAGGTCTTCCACAGTTCTTTCCAGCTCAGGGGTATCAGAAAAATCAGTAACAGACTTACATGAATTCGTATTTCAAAGAATCTGACTCACAGCAGACTGGCTTTCCCCAAGTCCCATGGATTCCATAAACTACAGGACTTTACAGACTTTTTTTAATGTCACAAAAATTTAGTCACAGGAAAGTGTGTGTTTTCTCCATAGACTAAAGAGTGGACACAGTATTTTTAGGGATTTCTGCATTTTGAGGAGTGCTAATTTGTACAAGTGCCTATTTGCACAAAAGAATACGAACTCATTTGTACAAAATCTAATTCTGCCAATGTGTAGATGACAGAACTAGGCTGGCAACTGGAAACAGACAGAACCAATTTTACAACAGCCATACATCCTTACAACCTTACTGTTTTCTTGGTGACTCCTTTTGTCAACTTTGCGGTGCCTTCAGTATGCACTGTTTCCTGGAATCCCCACTCTTCTTCCCCCACTAAGAGGTTTCAGTCATCTCCAGATTGGCCTCTCACAAAAGACTACCACATTGCCAGTTTCAGTCTCTCACATGCAAAATGTGCACAAACCTTTCGAAGTCAAACTTTCATCGATGCAGCCAGCATGCAAGAGAGGCTTCATTATCTCTGCCAAACTAAAATACAGATTACAGAGTAACAATCTAAAATACATTTGTTCTAGCCATGCTGCAAACCATCCACCTCAAACGTCAAACACCAGTACTAAATTCCAAAGACACCTGCAGCCCATTTGCTTACTGAAACATAGATGTAACATGATACCTTTGTTGTCTGCAGCAATAAATCCCAGGATATTCTCATGCCGCAACATGACCGTCTGATAGATCTCAGCTTCCCTGAACCAGGATCGCTCTTCCCGTGATGAGAAGATTTTCACAGCTACATCACCACCACGCCATCGACCACGCCACACTTCCCCAAAACGACCTTTGCCAATGATTTCCTGAAGGACAATTGTTCGAGCCACTGTACGCTGGACAAAGAGAGGCAAACCTGCCAGCAAAGGAATTAAAATAGGAGCAAGGGGGTGGACAAACAGTTTAAAGCTTTCAAGCACCTAAATTCAAGTTTTCCTGATCTTATTTCAGAACCAATGTTCTCCTAGCTGGATCCACCTGGGCACCCCTGTGTGCTGTAATGCTGTCCCTGCTGCTGCTGCCCTCCCAAAACATCTCCCCGACTTCTGGACTCTGCCAGTGACTGCAGCCCACCAGCCCAAATCAATATCCCCAAGTGCTCAGTGAGAGGGAGCACCTGAGCTGGGGGCGGGCTGCAGTAGGAGAGGCAGGGGAGAGGCAGTCAGAGGCAGCCAAAGGCAGGTGTGGAGGGTGGGGCTATGAGCCAGCACGAGTTCTTAGCTGGTAGTGCCCAGAGTGTGATGGTTCTGTGTGGCTGCCTCTGGGCGATGCCAAAGGGTGCTGTTCCCACTCAGAGTCAACTTGAGGCCTTTTTGTTTTGTTTGTTTGAAGGGAGAAGGCTGTAGAAAGTAGAAGGCTGAGTTAGTTGTGGATGATTGGAGGAAGCAGAAGGAAGTATAGTTAAGAACTGTAGTGAGCTGAAGGAAGACGGAGAAGTGAAGGGGCTGTTCAGGAGAAATAGAAAGAGTGGGGTAGGTATTAGTGGTTGGCCTGGAACTGGTCAGTAATTGGAAGTGTTTTGGAATTGGTTGGTAACAGGTGGGGTGTTAGTAATCTTTTTGCATTTTTAGTCACACAAAAGGTCTTTTAATGAATGGCTGGGGAGGGATGGGGAGGTCCAGGGTGCAACCATCGAGGTAGTGATTGGTAGAGGGAGATATGGTGATGGGGGTTCAACATGTCCATCTAGGAGAACAGAGGTCAGCTATCTTACATTTGTCCCTTTTTCTAGTTTTTGCTCCAGCCAAATGGTCCCAGGCAACCATACAAGCCAGCCCTTAGACTTGATGGTGCTGTTATTCAAGGCCAGGTTAGTTCACAATAAGATCTCCCTCATCTACTATCTGATTAAGGATGAGGGGGCTGACCTGGCATGCATTACTGAGAAATGGGTGGGAGAAGAGGATGGAGTCCCTCTCTCCCAACCATGTCCACCTAGGTACCCGTTTTAGCTCCTACATTGCTTGGTCGGCTGGAGTGGGGGGGGGGGGCTGCCATAGTCTCTAAGTTTTACATCCCTCTCCAAGCTTCCTGTCTCCTTGGAGACAGATCTTGAGTGTCTGTACTGCATGCTGGGTTCCCAAGGCAGATTAGGGATTCTACTACTGTACTGCCCACCTTGCTGCCCAGCAGTCTCCCTGCCTGAGCTGATGGAGATGGTCTCGGATCTGGTCTTGAGGACCCCCAGGATGCTGGTTTTGGGGGACTTCAATTTCCATGCCGAGCCTGCCTTATTTAGGGTGGCTCAGGACTTCATGGCTGTCATGACAACCATGGGGTTATCTCAACATGTCATTGACCCAGTGCACGAAAAGGCCTACACTCCTGACCTGGTTTTCTCAAAAGGACAGGAGGATGGTGGTTCAGATGTAGAGGGGTTAACTGCTACCCAGTTGTCATGGTCAGACCACTGTCATGGTGAGGTTTAGTCTTTTGGCCCCTTTCCCCCTCTGCAGAGGTGGGGAAGCTATTAAAATTGTCTGCCCCCAGAGTCTAATGGATCTGGAAGGTTTCCAGAGGGCTCTGCAGGATTATCCAGCCGATATAGTTGGTGCTCCTGTCAAAACCCAAGTCACCGCGTGGAATAAAGAGGTGACTAGGGCAGTTGACATGATTGCAGCTAAGCTCCCTTTCCCTCCTCGTTTAATCTGGCCAGCTCTTTGGTGCACATTATAATTTATGGTGAGGAAGGAAGAGAGAAGACAACTAGAGAACAGGTGGAGGAAATCTTGTGACGAATCAGACCAAACACAGGTTAGAATTCATTATCAAGCCTGTTCCATTGCAATTAATAGGGCAAAGGGGCAATATTTTGCCTCTTCCATTGCATCTTCACAGTGCCATCCTACTGAGCTCTTCCAAGTGGTTCAAGGGCTGTTAAAATCTGGCCCGTTACTGGAGATGACCGAACACTCTGAAGTGATTAATTTTCCCAGCACTTTGAAGATAAAAACCCTAACAGCACCTACTGCAGTTATTTTATCAACTATGGCCACATCATGACAGACAAAATTTAGCGTCGTCATGCACGCCCTGGTAACATCTTGGCTGGACTACTGCAACATGCTCTATGTGAGGCTGCCTTTGAAGATTGTCCAGACACTCAAACTGGTTCAAAATATAGCTGCACAACTTAACAGGAACTAATTCACAAGCCCATGTTGCACCAGTTTTATATTATCTACACTGGCTACCAGTGGAAGTTTGGGCCCAATTTAAAATGCTTGACATGTAAAGCCTTAAACAGCTTGGGCCCTGAGGTCTGCTTTCTCCAATATGTCCCTACCCATCCACTAAGATCAAGCCAGGAGGTCCTTCTTAAGAAGCCATCTCTCAGAGAAGTGAGGGAAATGCTGGCTGGAAGAAGGGCCCTCTCAGTGATTGTACCCCATCTCTGGAATAGGCTCCCCAAAGAGGTGTGCCTGGCACCTTCATTGTTATCATTTCAGCACCAGGTGAAGACATATCTTTTCTCTAACTATTTTAATAGTTGATTTTATTGGTAATTTTGATTTTAATCTGACCTTATTCTTGGCTTATAGTTTTTATTTTACTTAAGCCAATGAAGAAATTAAAAGTTTTTATGTAATTGTTTTAATTTGTAAATTATGCTTCTTTAAATGTGTTTTGTTAATGTTCTAGTATTACAGATTTTTAAAATGTTATGTTGTTTTAATTGCTTGTAAGCTGCTATGAGAGCCCAAGTATGGGCTAATGTAGACACATATAAATTGAATTAAATAAATAAATTCTATGTAGTATAAATTCTCTATCTATTGTATGAGGGACCCAACTGAATGGAAACAGAGCAGTCATGCCACTGAAAAGGTGCTCAGAACCAGTAGTTTTACATGCATAGAAGTCTTTGACTGGTATGCCTAAATGCCATTGCTTAGTCCTGTGCTTACACTAAGCATGCAGAAACATGCAGAATAAGGGGAAGTGTTAAACAGAGTCCCGTATGAAAGGAAGCCAGGATGACACAGCCTTTCTATAACTGCAGTTCTCTGAAGGAGCAGCTACATGGTTACACATACTGTTGGTCCACATAGTGGCTAGGAGTTAAAGACTGAGAAACCCTCAATACAAGTCTCACTTTAGCCATGGAGGGTACACTAAATCACATTAATGACCTGCTCATATCGCAGACTCAGCTCCGTATCTAAAAAAGAGACAGTAATGAACTAACTTATATGGTTGTTGTAAAAATTAATGAAAAGTATTCTAAACAATTTAAATTATACTTTGAGAAGTATTCCTACAATAAAAATACAAAGCAGATGTAGCTGCATGCCTCATGCTAACTATATAGAAAGTTATTAAGTATCAGGGCATCACCCCATATGCCTCTTTTTCAACACTGTGGAATAGAAGGAAAGGGGATGTCATTGCTAAGAACTTCTTCTGTTGAAGAGAGCATTCATCAGAAAGAATGCTAACTCATGTGTGGAACTGTTGAGATGCAATCAGACTAGGAAACATAGCAGCTGCTAAATTTGGTGATTGGCTTACACACCTGTTCTTTACTTGCAACTCTTAAGAGTAAAGATGATTTCAGAATTCCATCACTTTAAAGGAGGAGACTGAAAGGGAAATGCTGCTTTACACACACAGAGAACCATGTTCCATAGCCTAGCAACTTTCTCTATATACATATATACATCTCTTTTTAAAAATGAAAGTATTTCTACCTGAGCCTGAGCCAGAGGTAGACAGATCATACACTAGATCTTGCAGGGTTTTGTCCTTGGATAGGCACATCTCACAAGATGGGTCCTCCATGTCCAACCTTTGACGATTGTGGTATACTCTCTGATGGTGGTGAAAAACAAAAACTACTATGATCATAATAACAAACACAAGGAAGACTGGTCCTGCAATCACAGCAACCAGCTCCACAGGTCCCCAGCTGGAAGGAGTTTCATCATCTTTCTGATGCCCTTGAAAAGAGAGAAAGAAAGGGGGAAATCAGGTTCAAATCAAAAACCAAATGAAACCTCAGGTTTTGTTTGTATCAATATTTATCAGATCTGAAGGGACATATCAAAAGTGCAAAATATTACCGGAATCTATAAAGGCTAAAATAACAAATCTCAAGCTCATGTGTACTCTGCACCTATCAACTCTTCTGACCACAAAGAGAAGCAATTACTCCATTTTTTAAGTGACCAGGACAGTTAGGATATGGATGCTTTTATGATTCTCCTTGTAGCTGAGCCAGAAGTGGGAGGAAGGAACAGGCTTGCATTCATAACCCTAAACAATAGTTTAGCATTGTGCCTAAACCATGCTACTCTAATTATGAAAAAATAAACTGAAGTGGTTCTTGTTTTTAGTACTTTTCATCTTTATTTTAGCAATCTCTACCCACACTGATAGATTGCAGATGTAATACTGATGCAAAGTCAGAAAACAAGTATCTTTTCTGTGTACCATAGGCTTCTTTCATAAACTCATCCAGGCTCTCCCACATTCTTTCTCAAGGGCTCTCTCTCTCCTTTGTGGTTTCCAACCTCAAACTCTCTCTCTTTTTAATTCTGGAATCCTGCTCTTTCTGATAAGAGCAACCTCCCCCATGCATTGAATAACTGTGTGGCAAAAATACACTTTTGGGTGTGGCTTTCAGTGCTGTCTTGGTTTAAATAGGCAGGAACTATACACATAAATATTAGCAACATGCAATAACTCTCTAACCAAAAAATAAAGCTAAAGCTAGTGAGTCTATAGTGCACGTGCTAACTACTTAATTTGTATTAAGTATCACTTATATGTTCAGGAGTCTCCTTTCACTCTTGTTTTGGTCAAATACTTAAGCCCAAAACTTTGCTTAACATGCACTACAAATATATTGTAACCCTGGCCTAGGTGTTCTAAAAATAGTCTATTTTTCTATAAAGTTATTTTTTCTCTGGCATGTATTACAACTATTACTACTACTACATTTATATACTGCCTTATAGCCGAAGATCTCTGGGTGGTTCAAAAGAATCCATAAAAACAAGACACTAAAATACAATAAAAATATAAAATCAAAGAAAAAATATAAAATCAAAGAAACGTTAAAGCATTAAAACAGCTAAAAGATATAGCAAAGAATGACCCTGTAAAAAAACACGTGGGATGTCTAATTCCTTCAGGTCTCTGGGTACCCAAATAAGTCTTTAAGGTCTCAGTATAAAGACAGGTTCTCAAGAACTAAAAAGCAACAGAAGAATGCAATGAAACTTTATGACACAAGGGGGAGCCTAAGTACAACTCCAGTGTTATGCATACAGTTTCATGACTATGAAGCCAAATTTTAAAATCTTGGAAAATCCCAGTTAGGTAGGTACATCAGACTTACTAGTTATATCCAGAGATTGCAGTTCTAAAAATAAATATCCTTCACTCAAAGCATTCACGCCCTTTTTAAAGGAAAATCTCTATCTTTTGCTAATAGCAATTTGGCGAAACTGAAATGTGAAAAAAGGTGTCTTTGTTTCTGTTAAAAATTAGACAAAACCTGATGAACCATTACCAGATATACTGGCATATAAGGTGACTTCCATTAAGATGAGATCAGTATTTTGGGCTGTTTTTCTGGTGTTTGTCATATGTCAGTTATATAAGATGACCCCCAACGTCAGTTTCAAGGGGCTCTTACACACTGGTATATATGGGTATTTGACAGCCAGAAGCTTCTAGACCAGTGATGGTGAACCTTTTAGAGACTGAGTGCCCAAACTGCAACCCAAAACCCACTTATTTATCGCAAAGTGCCAACACTGCAATAAAACCTGAATACTAAGGTTTTAGTTTACAAAAACCACTAAATATGATGCTACAGATTCAAATATGCCAAGGGGACAGCACATTAAAAGAATCTCAGTCTCTTAGTTAGAACATCTCTTTGCTAAATCTTAGATATTAAATTTCAATTTTTCATAAGAAAACTCAAAGCTAAAATCTTGTGTTAATAAAAATGTATGTATTAAAACTCACAGCCAGTCAAAGCAATATATATCCTTGGCAGTACACTGAGCGGCCATGTGAAAGCTCGGATGAGTCGTGGCTAATGAGTTGCAGCTCGTGATGTCATCACCTGGCACCGCTACTCCTTTCTGAGCATGAGCATGGCCCCTATGTGCATCGTTATCCAATGCTCGGCTGCTGGGGCGACTTGGCTCACGTGCTGAGAGGGCTCTGCGTGCCCACTGCGGCATGTGTGCCATAGGTTCGTCATCACTGTTCTAGACTATTGTGATGTCATATTACTGCACTCTAGCTAATAGTCATGTTACCTCTCTGATTTGGAGGCTGACAGCAGCCCACAGAGGGGCAGGCTGGCTGGCTAGGGTTGGTTGGGGAGGATGGCCAGTATCAGCAATGCAGACAGCTATGGGGAGGCAGCTCTGGGGGGCAGGCAAGAGGGAGGAGGCAGCCCATACGGGCAGTGACGCAACACAGGACAAGCTCCTCTGGTACCAGTAAGATGTCTTTTATGATTATTAATAAAACAAGCTTGTAAATACTTTTGTCTTTATCTATCCTTTTAAAAATTATGAATATAATGAAAAATATTCACCTGGTGTCTAAGACAACCTCCCATTTTTGCCTCATTATTTCTGGTTTCAAGTGTTGTCTTATATGCTGGTATACACGGTAATTATAAAGTCTGGTGACAGCACCGCGAATTCACCCATGGGTTCACTGCTGTATGGTCCTTCTGCAGGTCAAATGATATCTGGGGGAACACAGTCATGCCCCTGATGTCATTCAGTCCCTGGTCAAAAATGCTGACAGAAAATGCTCCAGGTGACACTTGTGTGGCAGACCCAGCTCTGCTGTGGTCAGGCTTTCCTCAGGTTGGGAAAATTCAAGCACACTGAAGCCTCCCTTGCTAAGGCACTGCACACCTCAGTCTTGCCTTGCCTGCTCTGCAACTTCTCTGCAATGGGAAGTTGAGGGATGGGCAAAGCATGTAGCATGCTAAGTAAGAGGAATCCCTGAACTGATCACTAATCAGTGGCTTGTGAAAACAACAGGGATCCCTCCTCCTCTTGACTTTAGGGGCAAGCTTTACTTGAGGTCCATGGACCAAGCCAGCCAAACTGCTCCATGGGTGGGAGGGTTGCCCATCCCTGACTTATTCTATTCAGGTCATCATCATAAAAGTTAATAATCATGTGTCCCAAAGGAATGTAACAGAACCCTAAAACTGAAAATCCAGATGAAATCCCATTTTTGTGAACGTATGCCAGGGAACAATGATGCCCCCAGTGGTTATGTGTTCTCCCTTCTAACCACAAAATAAAAAAAGGAAAGCTATGCTATCCAAGTATACTTCAGTGTTTCAAAACAGAGAATGTGTATTCCTTCAACTTAATTTCCAAAGTGAGAGAGAGTGTGAGCAAACAAGTTGCAAGCAACAGCATGATCACTTCATTACCTTATATGGGAACTAGCTATTATGCTACTGATCTGGGAGCCACAGCTGAAGCAAGGACAATAAATATTAGTAATAAACAAACAAATACAAATAAATAAAATGAACCTTTGAGTTGACACTATAAAACCAAAAAGAGAAAAACACTGGTGCTGCATAGAAGGTAGCGTGAATACAGCCCCAAGAATAAAATCAGTTTTTTTAATTGCCTGGAAAGGCAGACAGTGTGCTCCCTTTAATTTACTTACCACTGGGTACCATAAGATCTATTTTGTTACAGTAGTCAGAGTAGCAGCAGTGTGTGTTGAGTACATTTTCTGAGCTCAGGCAGAAGAAGGGCTTTCCAGCAGGAACTAGCTTCTCTTCAGGGATACAGGTTCGGGCATGATGTTTCACTCCTTCCACATTTGTTATTGAGACCATACAGGCACCATCCGTTTCACATGTGGCATTGGGCTGGTTGCAGTCGGAGCACAAACACAGTAACGCTAAAGAGAGAGAATTGAAAAACAAATCTATGAAATACACAGCAGAAGAGTAAATGTGGTCCCACTAATATCAAAAAGGAGCTCTTCCAAAGAATGTTCCAAAGTCTCAATGAGATCTGAGTGGCTTTAAAACAGGTCTAATAACATTTGCAAGCCGTTTTGAACAAAAAAGGTCAGAATTACGCAAACAAGTTATACTGTTGTTTCACAGACTTCCCGTCCGTCAAAGTCTATAAAAGAATGACTCATTCAGTTTCTAGTCCCTATAAGTCTGAGATGAACTCAACTGCTATCAAGGATAAGGCAAGCCCATCTCTCTCACTCACAGCTACCTTTTATAGAAAACACACCTATACTTAAGGGCTGTTGAGTCAATTCAGTTTTGAGAGAATATTTGCTGAAATAACTGCACCTTCTCAATACAGGTGAAGAATACTGGAAGAAATGTGGCTCTTGGTATTCTTAATCTTATACTGAAAAAGAATCAACTTTCAAGCCTTAAACAAGCCAAAGAGTTTTACTTATTGCTATGGAGGAGCAGTGCTCTAGAATACCCCAATTTGGATGCCAACTATTAAGACTTATTTCTGCTCCACCAAACCAGGTGGAGAGAAACAAATTTACTGAGAAATAATCTCTTTATGGCATGTGAGAATGAGAATTTCAACTGGAATAATGAAGATAGTCTTACATAAATATACATGGAAAACACTGCACCCTAAATAAAAAGTGTCCCTCCTCCCACCTATGAAAAGGACAAGTTCATTTTCTGGATAACACCAAATAGCTGAGTTAAATCTCAATGACCAAAGCATGGCTTGAACTGGGTATCTAAAATTAAAAAACAAAAACCAGTATCCAGTTGGGTTTTTCAAAACCTGAAAACCACCAACATGCAATAACAAGAAGTCATCTGAAGTGGCAGCCTATTCTCTAAAAGAAACCTTTAAAAAAAATAATCTGAGCTCCACCTATCTTGCAAAGCAAATGAGGGTGGAAAAGATAGAGAAACTAAGAAATTTAACGAAGGACACATTATAGAAACCCAACTGCACTCCATGAAAATTGACACAATGGTAATAATGTACAGTAATTTTAAGTATGGCTCATTCAACAGGTTTTGCATGTCTGTACCTCCAACCCTGTGAAGTAGGCCAGGTTGCAAGGCATTAACTACATTCCTCACAAGTAGGCCAGATATTTTAATAACTCAAATACTAGTATTTTAGTACCAGTGGTTTTAATATTTTATCATAATGACCTCTTTATTGTTGTTGTGATATTAACTATTTTATGTTTTTATTGCATTGATTATTTTTATTATGTTATTTAAAAATATTGTAAGCTAGGGACTCCAAAATAATAAAGATAGATATCAATAATGCATTTGGAATATTAATTTTTATAATTCATACTCCAAATGTGGGAATCTAAGTTGCTGATAATTTCTGAACTACAGCACATGAATTAATTTCAAACCAATAGAGATCATCAGTAACCACAGTGACCAATTCAATGTTACAGCAAACTAATTGTAGGATACTTTAAAATCAATGATGGAAATGGTGTGCGAGGAGAGAAGGGAATGTATGACTCCATGCTATGTCCCTTGATTCTCTGAAGAGTTTCTTGGAGGCATGGAACATAGCATGTAAACTGGGCAAATGCAAGTGAAAAGCTTTAAAATCCCAACAGTACAATCATATACATGTTTACTCATAAGTTCCCTTTGTTCCATGGGGCTTACTCCTACATGTGTGCTTAGGATTATAGCCGAAAAGCATTATATAAAGGGTGACATTATTTTCAAGAATGCACTCCCACTTAATTTCTACATATTATACTATCATTTTAAAATATTTTATTCCTCACATTTTACTTTGAAATCTTATGTAAGGGCAAAACTATGTTACACAGGAAAAAGCAGTTTTTCCAATGTCATCTTCACCTCATGTTAATGGAGAGAAAGAGAGTGGAATTTACAAAATAGAACTGGAAAGCAGGAGTGGATGCTTGACCCTTTCTCATCTTGTTCTCCATGTAAATGTTGTCCTTTTACCTGCCATTCTGATTATTTCCCTTGTTCCCCATTCAGGCTGAAAAGTGGGAAGCAAGTCTGACTAGAATAACACTATAGGATTTACAGAGAGTAACTGGTATATACTAGAGCCATTAACAGTTGTTACTGCATACATTCTCTCTTACAAACCTCCATCTCAGCAAACTCAGGACTGGGAACATACATTTGTCAAGAGTGCATGCAACTCTTTCCTGAATCTTGCAGGTATGCAACACCAATTGTTTTCTATGAGCTAACAGCCATTTGCTATGCCATGAGATAAAGAGTGCATTCTTCTCTCTATTTAAATGCAAAACAGCTGCCAAATTTCACATCTCAAGCCTCCAAGCAGAAGTTGTTCTTCTCTCAAGGTGCCTGGAAAAAAAATCAGCCAAATCCCCAAACAGCAAAGATGAATTTAATATGTCAAGGAGAAGGGGTGGGTGAGTTTAATAAGTGTGCCATACTTTCTACAATAATCATCAGATCCTGTTTCCCCAGAGGGGATAATAAGCATGTTCATACCTGCCGCACAAAGTTTAACACAAAAGGTTAGATGCAACTTTAAAGACGTTTTTTAAAAGTTTGTGATGTAACTGTATCTCACTGTGAATACAACTTTTCTCCAAATCTCATGAAGAAATCGTGTGAGCTGCTTCAGAATTACATTTCATACTCAATTTTATTTATCTGGAGCATTTTTACTCCATCTTTTACAAGCGTCTCAGGAAGCTTCACCTGGATTGCTGTGCAACACCTTTCTTCTGGCACTGCAGACACATCATTATTAGCTGCAGTTCTCCACCATTTGTCCACTGCTTCTTTAAGGACATACCTCATCCTTTACAAATTATTGTTATTTGTTTTTCGGCGCCAGGCGAAGACATTTTTATTCAAACGTCATTTTAATTGCTAATATTATTTGCTTAATTCTTCGGCCAGGTCGACTTATTTTATAATGTTAATGTGTTTTATAATTTTAGTATTTTATATTTTAACTGATGTTTTGTAAGCCGCCCCAAGGCTTCAGCGAATGGGGCAGCATAGAAATTTTTTAATAAAATAAATAAATAAATTGCACTGAAGAAAAGAACACAATTGATGCAACTTCCAACTGCAATCATCACACTATTAACTCTTCCTGTAGAGTGAATTAAGACCAAAAACAAAAAACAAAACTAATCACACTATCTCAGGCAGTGAAGACATCTGACAAGCTAAAGCAGGGTCAGGTCAGGGTCAAGCCTTGTAATGACAGTTCCAAGGAAATATTCAAGATGATGCAGGAAGAAATGATGTGTGGGCAGACATTCCCCCACATCTAGCATAGCGCTGGCCCGGAAGGCAACAGAAACAGAACTATGCAGCCATTAAACTGGAAACTGGCTAAATACTGATACATTAAGGCTTCCCATACTGACCTTACAATTTCAACCAGAGACTGCTTTCCTTAGTTTTCTCCTGATGTTGCTCAAGTAAGCTTCAAGGCAGTCATTGCATTGAGAGGTAGTAAAGAACTTACTAGGTAAGTAGTTTGTTTGGGCTAAAGCATTATATAACGTGTGTTAAAAAGCTACTTATAAACTAAGAGAAGAGGTTAAAAATAAAGTTTTCATCTCAAGAGTAGTTCACAAGAGATAAACTTAGATTAGTACTTCAGCCTTGCTGTCTGGCACAAGCAGATTTCCTTTCTATTTTCAGATTGGAAAAAAGGAAATTGAAACAAAAAAATTCTGCTTTTCCAAGAGATACCATCCATTTAAGCTACACCGAGAGGGGAAACCTCATTTTATTATTATTTAGTAGACAGCCTACTTAACGTTTGGACTGTAAAAGTCATTAGGTTTATCTGTTTTTTGCAGCCATGCTAGCAAAAGATTATTGAGAATATAGCACAACTAGGTAAGGCACAGTATACACTTTCATCCCCCAAGTTTAGCCAAGACAAGAAGTATGTTTTTGAGAGGATTTACTATTTGGCCATTAAGTGACTTTTACTTTGTGCTAACAAAGGAAAGAAAGACATAAACAGATTAGAGGGAGATTTAATTTTGGTGTTAATTCAAGTTGAAGACAAGCTTTGACTGATATGGTAAGTAGTAACAGTGACACTTTCAAGTTCTCTCTTAAGCTTTCAGCAGCTTCAAAAACATGCAAATAAATTAAAATGCTAAGGATTGGGATGGGGGCAAAGAACAATGGTATAAAAATCTGCATCAATTCAGTGTTAATGTTCTTCAGAAAAGAGAATTCAGTTTTTGTAGTAATAGAACTCCATGTCACTACATGTAGTAAACACCTTAATGACTAACACAAGCTTAAGAATTCAGCAAGTGCATGAAAACTTGGATTGTAAATATCAGGATTTCTTATTTAAGAATACAACTTTTAGGAACTTTTTTCTATTTCATCTTTTTTAAAAGAATCAATCACTATGTATGGGTATGAAAGCTGGACAGTGAAGAAAGTTAGCCAGAAGCAAATTGATGCATTCAAAACATGGTGCTGGAGGAGAGCTCTGTGAATAGCCTGGAGTGACAGAAAGATGAACCAAAATGGATGAAATGGATCCTAGATCAAATTAAGCCAGAACTTTCCCTAGAAGTAAAAATTAAAAAAAAAACCTGAGATTGTCATACTTTGGATACATTGTAAGAGGGCAAGACTCCCTAGAGAAGACAATCATGTTAGGGAAAGTCTAACGCAGAAGAAGAAAAAGGAGACCAGATAAGAGATGGATTTACTCCATAAAGGAAACCATAGGTTTGAACTTAGAACCGCTGAGCAAGGGCTGTCATGGATAGGACATTTTGAAGGACTTTCATTCATACAGGCAGCATAAGCTGGAGACGACTTGATGGCACTTAACAATGAAGAAAGTAATAGAAGGTGGCAGATGCTCTGTTATCCCATTTTGCAAACACAAAATCCCAGCGAAGCT